GTAATAGGGTATGGGATGGGGTGCAGGTGGGGTTGGTTAATGAGTATAAAAAAAAAACCCACCTAGTATTTGATAGCATGGAGTGACATATAGTCAGTAATTATACATCGTAAAATAAAAGTATAATTGGATTGGAACACGAAGGATAAATGCTTGAAAGGGCGAATCCCCCATTTCACATGGTATGATTATTACACATTGCATGCTTGAACATCTCTTGTACTCCATAAATATACATACCTGACATGTACCCACAAAAATTAAAGATCTATAGTATAATTTCTTTCATCTCAGTTGACTTTTAAATTTGAACATTCAAATAAAAATAATTTAGAAGTCACGTTGCCAAACCTACTGCTAGTAATAACCTAGTTGATGTGTAGGAGTTAAACATTAATTCTAGTTACATTTTGAAGGTATGGTTTGAAATGATCTTTTAAAAACAAGATTTGTCATAGATATTTGAGGTTTATAACACGGCGTTACGGGATACGTATAGATCGTGAAAGAGTTACTCCAGTGGGAGAAGTGAATCAGCATTACCGTCCAGTTACTTGTGTGTGTGACTAGAAGAGCTGAAGCACACTTATTTAACAGAAATCCCTGCAGATCTCTGGACTTGTTCATTGCACATATCCGCTGCTTGTTGGAATGACCAGTTTAAGGAACCCTGCTTTCTTGAGTTATTAAAACACTGAGCCTGTATCGCTTGACATGAAAAGGCATATCAAAAGCAGCTCTGCCAAGGTTCTGAATCGATTAAACACAACTGGGGTTCAGACGCCAGTGTGGGTAACTCACTGTCTGTGCCCTTAACCAAGGGAGTGTCTGAGCAGCGTCAAGCAGAGCGCGTTCTTGGGTTTGGCTTCCTTTTCCTGCCACTGACCCTGTCCAGGAAGCAGTTAATAGCAAGTGTTATTTGAAGCACCGGCCCGTCACCATCCACTCTCCACTGGGCTTAGGGCCTCACCCTCAGGTAAATGGAAGCTATCGACCTTTGAGCAAATCGCAGAGGTCAACAGTGGACTCTTCGCCCGAGAAGAGCATCTGCCAGCAGTGGGCGAGGTGGATGTGGCTCCCCGACTCACCGAGGAAAAACAACACACTGGGTTCTCCAACAGGACTTCAATAGCTCACGCCTGCCTTACAGTATCACCTCTTTATCCATTAGAGATTGCTTCTCCCTTCCAAATTGTCCCATCTAGGTATGTTGATGTAACTCATTGGTGAAAACCTTGGACGGGTATCTATGAAAACCGATAAATCGTTACTCCTTCGGAAGCAGCCGCAGAATGGGGATGGCTTAAGATGCTTTTAAGCTTCTATCTGAAAATGCTTATGTGGAAATTCGGTAAATCAAAATGGGCCTGAGTATAGCATAGAGTGTGACTTTTTTTTTTTGGATACAGGTATTGCTTTGTCACCCAGGCTGGAGTGCGGTGGCGTGATCACGTCTCACCGCAGCCTCAGCCTCCAGAGTTCAAGCAATCCTCCCACTTTGGCCTCCCAAGTAGCTGGGATTATAGGCATGTGCCACCATGCCTGGCTAATTTTTGCAATTTTTTTTTTGTAGAGTTGAGGTTTTGCCAAGTTGGCTAGGCTGGTCTCAAACTCCCAGCTTCAAGCAATCCGCCTGCCTCAGCCTCCCAAAGTACAAGCATGCATCACTGCACCTGGCCCAACTTTATTTTTACACATTTGTGTCTGACTGGAAAGTTCCGGAGGGCAATAGCTATTAATGTTGGCTATAGCTCCAGGACATGGGATTCCAGCTGACTTTAGTTTCTTTTTTGTGGTATTCTTTGAATACTGTATGCTGTAGGTATTAGACTTTTTTCTGGTTGTAAATTTGTATGCGAGAAGATGTGAAAAATGAAAAAGCAGCTTTCAGCTTTCGAATAAGGTGGGCGAGTGAGATATGCTAGCCAAATTTCCCTATTGCTCACCTGATTCTGCTTCAAACTCTATGTCTTCTCATTTTCTGCTAGAGGTTTAAATCTGGGACCAAACCTGGACCTGGCTCACGAGATGGTTTTAAGTTTTAAGCCATTTAAACAATGTGAAATAGTTGCCAACAACTAAATGTTAAAGAGGCAGACACTCCAGATCTGGGTTCTCATTGCATCCGAAGGTCAGGTAACACTGGAGTCTCACTACCATGATCAATTAACCAACAGCAGTTTAGCAGATGGTCAATTATTTGTTTTAGGCTATGACTGGAGACAACCTGAAATCTCTTTCTCTATATGACCAGTTCAGGGACAGCAGTAAGTCTGAACATATTGAAGAGGGAGACCCAGGCTTCTCAGATCAACTTCCCCTTTTGACTGTCATGCTGCATTTCAATAGAAGAAAAGGTTGACCCACGAGTGCCTCCAGTTTTACCTTCCTGTAGGTGACAGGCTAGGCCTTGGGGAAAGTTTCCAGAAGGTACTATTTTTACTTAAAACAAGATCAAACCAGAAACCTTTTCACATGTGAGTTTTTTTTTTTTTTTTTTTTTTTTGAGGCGGAGTTTCACTCGTTACCCAGGCTGGAGAGCAATGGCGCCATCTCGGCTCACCGCAACCTCCGCCTCCTGGTTTCAGGCAATTCTCCTGCCTCAGCCTCCTGAGTAGCTGGGATTACAGGCACGTGCCACCATGCCCAGCTAACACATGTGAGTCTTAAAACTGTAAACCGGAACCCTTTCATATGTGATTCCTGAAACTGTAAACCAAAACCTTTTCACGTGTGAGTCCTAAATCTATGAACCCAAGATTCTTCCACGTGTAACATCTGAAGTATAAGCCTATATAAAGGCAGAACCTTCCTTTGTTAGAGGAGCTGGGTTTTCGACAAATTACTGCCTGGTCTCCCGGCCGAATAAACTCCTCCCTCCTTTATTCGGTGTTCAAGAGATCTAGTTTCCCCGCGGCCGCTCCTGCTGCAATATATTTTATCTAGACCTGGCAGCTACTTTGTACATTTTTAGTACCTGTCTGGCTTGTCCCTGTAAGTCTTTCTAGATGCCTAGAAGATAAACAATGGATAGAGCCAGGCACGGTGGCTCATGCCTGTAAGCTCAGCACTTTGGGAGGCTGAGGTGGGCAGATCACCTGAGGTCAGGAGGTCGAGACCAGCCTGGCCAACATAATAAAACCCTGTCTCTACTAAAAATACAAAAAATTAGCCAGGTGTGGTGGCAGGCGCCTGTAGTCCCAGCTACGCAGGAGGCTGAGGCACGAGAATCGCTTGAACCCGGGAGGCAGAGGTTGCAGTGAGATGAGATCGCGCCACTGCACTCCAGCCTGGTGACAGCGTGAGACTGTCTAAAAAATAAAATAAAATAAAGATAGTCACGTGGAGAGAATACAGTCATGCAGTTCTTGCCTTGTTTCTGGTTCTGCCAGTAAAGCCCCTTCCTCATCCTTCTTTTTTTCTTATCACTAGAGACAAATTAAAAAACATGGCTTCAGGCTGCTCAAGGCCTAAAACAAATAAGGTGAGAGGTGGACAAGGGTCGAGGGTACTTCAGACTCGATTTACGATCTTGGTAAGTTCTCTTAACCCCTCAGGGATTCGGTTTTCCAACGGGAATACGTGATTGTATCTAGGACTGGACACAACCCGAAATCTTTTTCTCCATATGACCAGTTAGGGGACAGTAGTCCCTTCAGCAAGAGGCTGAATGAGCCAGTGAGGATGGTCTGCTTAGGAGGCACCCAGGATGCTAACTCTCCAGGATCTTTACACAGAGCTCCCTACCTTTCTGTGGCTAGATCTTTATCGTTCTAGGACAGAGCTCCATGCTGGGAAATCTGCTCTAGCATAAGTATTTTCTTCGAGTCTAATCCTTTGGCTGGCTAATTTCATATAAGCTAGTTAGCCTAAAAGCAGAAAATAAAGGTAGAATCAGAAAGTCATAAGACAGGATGTGACCCACATCCAATCCATCCCCAGTCCTCATGTGACTTCCAGGTCTGAAGACTGGTTCTTTAGGTATGGAAAACTCACATATCAAAACCATGAAGCTAATCGATTCCATCAAAAAGCGGAGCCAGGACGTGAATAGACACTTCTCAAAAGAAGATATACAAATGGCCAATATCCTATAGTCCTTGAGAAGATAAAAATATGAAAAAACGCTCAACATTACTCACGATCAGGGAAATGCATATCAAAACCACAATATGATTCTACCTTACTCCTGCAAGAATGGCCATAATAAAAAATAAAATGTAAAAAGTAAATCTTGGAGTGGATGTGGTAAAAAGGGAACACGTCTACACTGCTAGTGGGAATGTACACCTTGCAAACAGTGTGGAGATTCCTTAAAGAACCAGAAGTAGAACTACCGTTTGATCCAGAAATCCCGCTACTTGGTATCTACCCAGAGGAAAAAGTCATTATACAAAAAAGATACTTGCATACATGTTTATAGTGGCACAATTCACAATTGCAAAAGTATGGAGCCAGCCCAAATGCCCATCAATCGGCAAGTGGATAAAGAAACTGTGACTACACACACACACACACACACACACACACGCACACACACACACACACACGCACGCATGTGTGCACGCACAGGACTACTACTCGGTCATAAAAAGAAACGAAGTAATGGCATATGCAGCAACCTGTGTGAACTGGAGACCATTATTCTAAATGAAATAACTCAGGAATGAAAAACCAAACATTGCGTGTTTTCATACGCGGGAGCTAAGCTGTGAGAATGCAAAGGCATGAGAATGAATCGTTGGACTTCAGGGACTTGGCGGACGGGTGAGAGGGGGTGAGGGGTAAAAGATGACAAACTGAGTACCGTGTACACTGTTCAGGTGGTGAGTGCACCCTAATTTTAGAAACCGCCACTAAAGAAGTTATTCACATAATCCAACACTGCCCGTTTCCCAAAACCCTACCGGAAAACAAATAAACAACAAAACAAAGCCCATCACCAAGCTTCCTGTGAAGTACCCCCGATCTCTACGCACGCTTCTCAGCACCCCACTCACGGTTTCGTCTGTCAGTGATCCTCTGACAAAGACTGTACTTATGCATCCTTTCAAATATGCTAAAGGCCATATTCCACACGTGCTGCCCCTCGTAAGAGATGGCCAGCAAGGCAGGCAGTTGCTCCTTTGGTGTCTCTGAATTAATCTGTGGAATCTTCAGCAGGTTCAAGTCATAAATCATGCGTTGCAGATAATTCTTAAAAATCTGAAATTCCCTGTCACTAAGACTCTCTAGATACCACAGCAGGTCCCAGTCAGTAGAGTCCGGTTCTGCCATCTTACTTCTCCAGGGAAGGCAGACTTCAGAGAAGGGATTTCGAGGAAGAAGAAGGACGAGATCTAAAAAACAGACGGGGAATCAGGCAATCAAACCACACGGTAATGCCAATTCATTCAAAGCTGACATCACAGAAACTTCCCGTGGTGTGACAGAAGCGCCTTTCTGATAGGCCATCAACCACAGGTCTGAACGCTTTATTTCTAGGACAATGACCTTGTGCATTGATCCTGGCCAACTCCTAGGCTCTATTAAGGTAGAGCATCAGTGGTGTTAGAAGGGAATGTTCTTCTTGTGAAAGTCATCCCTGATTAGCAAATGGCATATAGATTGGGAGTTGGGTGTCATACAGGAACTTTGGAGGGAAACAGTTTCTTTTGAAAGTGAGTGTCACCCCTGGACTGACTGGAAATCTACTCTTAGGGTCTCTTACAAGATATGCTGTTGTATATGAAACTCCTCTATGATAAAAGAATCTGTATGGCAACTGGCAGTATTTACAACGACTATACTCCTTGAAGGTATGTCATTGATACCTGTAAGGACTCTCTACAGCAGGTGTCCCCAAACTACGGCCCGTGGGCCGCATGCGGCCCCGAGGCCATTTATCCAGCCCCCCGCCGCACTTCAGGAAGGGGCACCTCTTTCATTGGTGGTCAGTGAGAGGAGCACAGTATGTGGCGGCCCTCCAACGGTCTGAGGGACAGTGAACTGGCCCCCTGTGTAAAAAGTCTGGGGACGCCTGCTCTATGGGATATCTATAAGGCCTCCTATGAAGATACAACCATTATCATAATAAGCAAATAGGCTGTGTGTGGTCTTGTATGCTGCTGAAAAGAAATCTAAGTTATGATGTACTCTATTCTGTCCCATTACTAGATAAATGAGCCCAGGGCAGCCCCTAGGTGAGTTGTTCATTCTAGGCTGAAATCTGTTAGTGCATAAAGCCCACTGGCTTCAAACTCAAGTTTTTTATGCATCCAATTGTTTTAAACACAGACCAGATGAGCAGATTTGTAGCCACGTAGAGCCCGCCTGCTTTGCATAGCTCACGAAACTGCTCCCAACAGGTGCCAGCTGCAAGCTTCTCTGCCCTTTGGAGCTCCTGGACGCAGGAGGTCTGCCTCCCCACTGTGCTGAGTGGTATCGCCTACAGACATGTAGGTCGCCTGTCCAATTCTACCTCACCTCTGCAGGGGTTCCCCATCTTCCTCTCCTTTTGAGTAGGGACCCATACACTGTAGCCCCGGGACAGGCTCCTGCTGTGAAGGACGTGCCCCACACGCAAACCTGTGAATATGTCACCCCAAAAAGGCATGTGCATACCTGCCACCTCTCAGTTCTCTTTTCGCTTGACCAGTTTCCAAACCCCTTGAGCCTCCTATACGTGTGAGTTTCAACGTCAGTCTAATCCTGATATCCTAAGAAGTCAAGATTGCAGAGTTGTGTCTGAAGAATCCATCCCAGAGCCTTGACCCAACACAGTCAAGGCACTCACTTAGATTTTTCTTTTTTTTGAAACAGAGTTTCACTCTCTTTGCCCATTAGAGTGTAATGGCTCGATCTCAGCTGACTGCAACCTCTGTCTCCTGGGTTCAAGTGATTCTCCTGCCTCAGCCTCCCGAGTAATTGGGATTACAGGTACATGCCGCCACACCCAACTGATTTATTTATTTTTAATAGAGATGGGGTTTCACCGTGTTGGCCAGGCTGGTCTTGATCTCCTCACCTCAGGTGATCCACCCACCTTGGCCTCCCAAAGTGTTGGGATTACAGGTGTGAGCCACCGTGCCCAGCCCACTCACTCAGATTTTATCACAATGAGGGAGAAAGAAGATCGGATCAGACATGAGTGGACTGGATTGGCAACATCTCCGTGGTTTTATGTCAAATGCTTTGACACAGAGAACAAAGGATCAATAGTGCCTTTGGGGGAGTAAATGAATGTTGGAGAATGGCAGGTATCTGCTGGAAGCTAAACTGCTTAATCTCCAACCATGAAATAAACCTAACTAGATACTCAACTGTAACTGGCTGTCGGGCATAAAGAAACCAGCAGTGAAGCTGGTAAGATGAACCAAATACCAGACAGAGTCTTTCTAAGGTACGACTGGGACTTAATATTTAAGCAATATTTAATCATGCCCTTGTCTTGAGATTTTTCTGATTTCATACTACTATATAGGATAATTTAAGGAATGTTCCATAAGCTTTATGTTTAGTGACTCGGGGGCTTTGTGTATCTGACCTTTGAAGAATAATATGTAGACAGAAGCAAGGGATGAAGGTAACATACAAGAGATAAGATTTTAAAGTTATCACTGATTTAAGAACTCTAGGCCAGTGCAGCGGCTCACACCTGTAATCCCAGCACTTTAGGAGGCCGAGGTGGGTGGATCACGAGGTCAAGAGATAGAGACCAGCCTGACCAACATGGTGAAACCCCCCTCACCTAAAAATACAAAAATTAGTTGGGCATGGTGGCATGCACCTGTAGTCCCAGCTACTTCGGAGGCTGAGGCAGGAGAATTGCTTGAACCCAGGAGGTGGAGGTTGCAGAGATCCAAGATGGCTCCACTGCACTCCAGCCTGACAACAGAGTGAGACTCTGCCTAAAAAAAAAAAAAAAAGCATTGCAATGTGGTCAGATGAGTGCATGAAATGTTGGTATAAAAAAATGTTTTGTCTTTTGGGAAAAGTAAGTAATAAGAGTTTTTAATACACATATACTTACTGACTCAACATTGCATTTTTTTTTTTTTTTTTTTTGAGGAACGTATGAAGCAGAGTCACTAGGCATAAAGCTTACGGAATACTCCTTAAATTATCCTACTTAATACTATAAAATCAGAAACACCTGAAGCCTGACAAGGGCACGATTAAATATTTCTAGTGCATTATCGTATATTATTAACCCACTTAAAAATCATACTTTAAAGAACACAAGAAAACGCTCATATAACAGTGTTTAGGGAAATATGAGCTGTTTGAGTCTAAAGGGAACTCCATTTTTTGCTGTTGTTGTTGTTGAGACAGAGTTTCACTCTTGTTGCCCAGACTGGAGTGAAAAGGCACAATCTCAGCTCACAACAACCTCCGCCTCCCAGGTTCAAGGGATTCTCCTGCTTTGGCCTCCCAAGTAGCTGGGATTACAGGCATGCACCACCAATGCCTGGCTAATTTTTGTTTTTTGTTTTTTTTTAAAAGTACAGATGGGGTTTCTCCATGTTGGTCTGGCTGGTCTCGAACTCCCAACCTCATGTAATCTGCCCACCTCAGCCTCCCAAACTGCTGGGATTACAGACGTGAGCCATGGAGCCTGGCGGTAACTCCACTTTCTTAGACAAATGTATTAGAGGGAGAAATACAGCTGACTCCTGGACCCAGAAGTCAGTGGTGCCAGCCCCCAGGCAGTCAAAAACTCATGTATACCTTCTGACTTCCCCAACACTTAACTACTTATAGCTTAATATTGGCCAAAAGCCTTATCAATAAACAGTCAATTAATACATAAGTAGACTAACATCTATATTGTATGCATTGTATGCAACATATCTTTCATTTTCTAAATATTTCTAGACTGCCTGGTTCATCTACAAGCTCATACATCTCCCCCCAACTTTTCCAATAAATGTATTTTTGAAACTTCACGTAAGTGGACCAGTGCAGTTCAAACCTGTGTTGTTCAAGGGTCCACTGTAAATCTGTTACACACAGTCGTGTAACACAAGTGTTTTCTTCTTTTAAATCTTGGATCTAGGTGTTTTTCCCCCGCTACGGGAACAATTTGATTAGGGATTAGTAAGTTAAACCTCACCAAGTCCAACCCTTTCCCAAATTCCCAGACTCTTCCCTCTGACTTCTGTTTCACCACTGCCTTTCCTTGAGCCCTCTCCTTGTAACTGATACTTATTCTAAGAGGCTTCTGAGTTCAGGAGTCAAGTTTATTTCCTTCTAGTGTTATGTTTCTCTAAGAAAGTGTGGATACTTGTAGACTCAGACAGTTCATATTTCCCTAAACACTGTTGTACGAGCTGTGTTCTTTAAGGTATGGTTTTTTAAGTGGGTTGATAATAATGCAGCAGAAATAGGTAATCATGCTCTTCTCAGTCTTTAGGTGTTTTATACTATTAGTAGGATAATTCAAGGAATATTCCATAAGCTTTATGCCTAGTGACTCTGCTTCAGAGCTTCCTTAAAAATAAATGTGGCCGGGCATGGTGGCTCATGCCTGCAATCCCAGCACTTTGGGAGGCTGAGGTGGGAGGATCACACGAGATCGGGAGTTTGAGACCAGCCTGACCAACATGGAACAACCCCGTCTTTACTGAAAAATACAAAAGTAGCTGGACATGAGGCGCACACCTATAATCCCAGCTATTGGGAGGCTGAGGCAGGAGAATCTCTTGAACCTGGTAGGCAAAGGTTGCAGTGAGCCAAGATCACACTGCTGCACTCCAGCCTTGCTGACAGAGCGAGATAATACATACAATTTTACGTGTCAACTAAGTTTGCAAAAAAAAAAAAAAAAAAGGACGACACAGGTTTACCCATGTACATTCGGAAAAGGTAAAACAGCTTGGCTTGCCCATGGTAACTTCAGTCATTTTATTGCCCACCAAATTATTTCCAGCTTCTAACCAGAGAGAAAGCTAGAGAACCGATGTGACAATGTAATAAAAAAAAGACTTTAAAATCCAAAGCAGCAAATCGGCCAGAAAGGTAACTCACCAACGCCGACGCCAGGGCTCCCCAGCTGGTCTAAAGCAAGCAAGCCCGGAAGTGGGAAGAAAAAGGCTGTGCCTGCCCCGTGATGAGCCAGCTGATGCCCCTCTCTATTGGCTAAGGTGGGTTCTTGATAACCTTCGCCATGGAAGGGAAATACTGATGCACCTGTGTGTTTCTTCCCACATGCCCCTGGTGTCTTTCTCCACCCAGGACTAAACAGGGTCTGCTGATCAGAAGACGGTCCAGACCCGGTTTATGATGTTGGAGCTCAT